CATGCCACCGTGTCCTGCCCGTCTTGTCCCGTGTCTCGTCTCTTAGTGTCCTTTATTTACTGTTTCTTTCCACTATTAGCCTATAGCTGACAAGCCCAGAGCTCCAATACCCACTCTCTTTATGTACGTACAATATCAAGTCTGCTGATTTTGCCTTCTTTTCCCCCTCTGCTCTCCTAGTCTGTTGACGCTGACTGGCCTCCGAGCCTGGATAATTAACTTCTCAAGCTGGGACGAGGAAGAAGCGGCTCCCGTGTCAGCAGCTGGTTGCTGAGCAGCGTGCGGCATTACAGCCTGCTCGCAAGTTACTTCAGCTGAACACTTGGATCACGTTGATCTGCCAAAGGATATTGTTGCTTTGAATCAACTTGAAACACTCTGGAAGAGGTAGTGTTCGCTCAATCTCCAGCCTTATTTTAATCTCTTCTGCACATAAAAAGGCTCTGGTAAGCTAGTGTATTGATAGTGAGTCTTTTAAAAACCCCACAATTAAGCAAAAGATAAATGGTGTAACATTTGATGTACTGAGCAAGTACATCAAGAACGCTTTCTGCGGTAGTTTAAAATCTTTAATTAAAAATAAGGCTCCCTTGAGCCAGATTTTTTAAAGTTCTTTTTATATTGGATGCTGCAGCTTCCTTGTCTGGATGCACACAGCACTGAGTTACCTGAAACTCAGTCCTGATTTTTTCCGAGCGCTGTTGATGCGGGAAATCCCAAAAGTCAGGGAAACTGAAACCAGTAGGACAGTGCCTGGAAGGCGGCGGCGCTCCGCTCCCCGCTGACAGCTTTTTGGTCAGTGTCAGTGTGAGAGATGAATTTGTCTCCCAGACAAAGTGCTTTTCAAAGGGAAGAACAGTTTTCAGAGGAAAACGTTGCACATAAACCTAAGTTTTTCCTCACTTAAAAACATCAGTGAGGCTTCCTAAAACAACAGTTGGGGTGCTTGAGGCCTGACCAGCTCTCCGGCCTGGTTACAGTGCTCTGAGGCGTAGGATTTCCCCAGTTGAGTCACCATGTATAAAAAGACTGGGAACTCCTGGCAGTGGTGCACGACAGAAAGCTAAAGAAAAATAGGAATACCAACAAAGTGCTAGCAAGTACTGTATGTACTGGAAAATGTTGGTATTGAGAGACAAGACAAGTAAAAAGCTTCAGTTTGTAGCATGATACATTTTTGTCTAGTACCTGGCCTTGGATGGATGCCTGGAACTTTGAACGTTGCCTAGGAATTTGCCTGGAATAGGGAAGACGTGAGTTTTTCTCTTTGGTTGTGTGATTTTTAAATGTTTCATACAAAGCACCACCTACATCTTAAGGAAAAAACCTCTTTTCTAACTGTATCATGTTAATCCCTTAGGGAGATCCTTCTGCTTACCTGAAGTACAGACGAGAGTTAAACTATAGACAAGAAATCAAGGTTTGGAATTCAAGGGCTCTTCATTAATTAACATTTCAGAAATAAAGAGGGTAATATTTGCCAAGACAAACCCCTGTTTGGGGACAGGGAGGATTACTGAGTCACCTTACCTTCAATTCAGTGGTGCCAGGACCTCAGACTCGAACAGGCACATGGTAACTTTCGCTGAAGGTTCGAAAGGGCATTAATAAAAAGCTTTTCAAGGAGGTCCTAAAACCTGATCTTGAAAAATTAGTCTGAACGTTGCACACCCTGCCTGTAACGGGCTGTCAAAACTTGCCTCTCATCAATTGTTTTCCCAGTCGACTGGCAGTAGTTCAGAAGCTCCTGTTTTTCTAACCCAGAAGTAATAAGAACATGATTCAGACAGCACTATTTTGTTGTTTTGAATCTTTAAGCTGTTATGAGCAACAGATTCCAGGAGCAGTCGTCTCAGATAATCATCTGTACCCAGAAAGGAAGTGTCATGAACGATGGAAAACTTAAGAAACTGAATTCAGAAAACAAACAAAAGCGAATTTCAGTCTCACATCTATGCGAGTTCGTGAAAGTCAAAGTGAGTTAAAAGTATGATTTATAAATTCCATTTAAAAAAAAAAATGTAAACAAGCCTGCACTCTGGACATGAGAGACACGAGCTGTTCCGAGGGGGAAGCAGAGCGAAGGCGGCAGCAGCGGACAGGGCTCCTGCCGTAGGGCAAGGACCCTCGAGGTGCTCCCAGCCGCCGCTCTTTGCGCTGTACGTCATCACGGCGACCGCGTTAAGGACCAAGGTGCAGAGAAACAAGGGGATAGAGGCTACACTAGATGTGCTGAGTCCAAGCTCTTCTCCATACGACGGAGGGACATCCGTCAAAAATCCCCAAGCTGCTTATTTTTATGATAAATGTAAAGTATCCAAGTGAGGGGGGGGAAAAAAGCTGACATTGCAGGTATCTCACAATACTTAGTTTGGTGATGATGTAAAAAGATGAAAATGAGAGGCAATCCAGTTTTATAAACTTAGTTAAAATCTACAGTTTCTAATAGAAGGTAAACCTATCTATGTGATGTATCTAACCTATCTCTGTGAACTATCGTGATCTGTAATGAAGATCACAGCAATAACACGAACGTTGCACTTTGGCCTTCATCTTCTTTTAAAATACCTACCGGTGCGTACTCCAGTAGGAGCTTCTGCGAGACCGAGATCCAGCCTTGTTCACAAGGTGTGGCCGAAATGGGTATTTTTTAGCACATCATGTGGAAAATACTAAAAAAGGCGGGCTGGTGTTCCTTAGCACCATCCCTCCTTGTACTGGAAAGACACAAAAATCAAGCTGCTGCATTTCTCCCATCAGTTGGCCACCTCTAATTCCCACCCCATATGGTGTTTTGGTTTTTTTTTTTGGAATCAGCTTAGCAGAACTGGAGAAACTAGCAGTAGCACAGCTCTAGCCGAGGAAGAAAGCATCTCTCCTCTCTGCCCCCCCGACTAAAGCATCAGTTGCCCTGCCCCAAGAAACTGCTGGGTGCAGACGAACCCTCCCTGCGCTCGTCGCGTCAGGTTCTGCGGTGGCCAACGGTAACTGGGAGCAGGACGTCCTCTAAAAAGCCCCAGGATGAGCAACCCATAACCTACCTTCTCCCCTTTCCCTGGCTTTCCTGTGGTGAGGGCTGTCGTGGGTCTCAGAAGGCTGCAGAAGCTGAGTGCTTAGTATAACCAGTTTGTTTTAATTACCAAACCAACTCGTTTACAAAGGAAAACAGAACTTTGAAAATATTTAATTATACAGTAAAAACAAATTGTACTATAAAGAGCTTTCTATGAAGTGAGTAAAATGTTTACATTTAATATACTTAAAATTGAGAACTTCAAAAAAAAAAAGATAAAAGACCTGAATAAACAACACATTTCAAGCTTTCTTTGTATTTCTTTGGTCTTATTACTGAGGGCTGCGCAGGAGCGAGGAGAAGCCGCTCTGCGACGCGGGGAGCTCGTTCATGGTGTTGGGTACCCGGCGTTCGGGGAGGCAGCCCTCCCCGCTTCGCTGCACGCGCTGCCCCGAACGCAGCCAGGAGTCCCGGCTTTCCTACAAACCACGGAGGCGTTGGGCAGGGCCCTCCTGCCTCGCGTACGACTCTGTCTCAAGGGGGTTTTTTTGCCCTGGGGTTGTGTTTTTTGGGTTTTATGGAACAGAGTGCGCTTTTTTTTTATTGCTTCTTCCCATCATGCAGTTTTACGTTGCCAAACAGTAACAATTAGATTCCTAAGCCTTACCTGCCAGACAAAACAGCTGTATAACTTAAGAAATACCCATATTCCTTGCTGTGTTGCTTCTTAAAAATGAGAATAATATTAAAATAGCCAAGCCCTATAACGCAGGGTGTCTTACCCAGCCCGTTACATCCACGCGAGACGTCGCCCAACATCTCGCAACCCAGGCTAAGAAAGAGCGGGAAGCAAGTGGAAGGGAGGAAGTTTTGGCTTCTGAGAGAGCGTAGAGAGGAGTGTTTTACTTAGTCCTGACTGAAATAGCCTGAAGTTGCTCACAGAGTGCATCTGGAGGAGGCGGCGCTACGGCTGCCTCCGGGTTTGCCCCAAAGCTTTGGTGTGGGGGAAGGCAGGATCTGAGCCGCCTTTGAAGCAGTCACTTGCATAGCAGGAAACTGCCGGGATACCTGAGGAACGAGGCAGTAGATACTTCGGCTCAACATATTTCTGCCGTTATTCAAAATAACATCGCAGCTACACACACACACACACACAAAAAAACCAACTTCCAGAGAAATAACAGCGTGCTCCATTCCTAAAGCAACAGGGGTTTGTCGTTTAAAATAGTGCACTTTGGATGAAGTGCAGAGAAGTCCTTACTTTCTGTTCGTTCTTTTGTGCAGTGATTCATTTACAACAGAGCTGGACTATTTAAAAACTCAAACCTTCCGGTCTTTTAAAAATATATCTAACAATGACATAGTCATTAAAAAATTTTTAGAGTAAATTTGCTTTCAAAGCAAATGGAGTGTGGTGAAAACAGGAAAAAAAAAAAATAATCAATGCATCGTCTCGTTTTAGGAGAAGAGTATTTTATACGAAAGAGGGTGAGAAACCTAAACCTTTCAAGTAAGTTGAGTAAAACGTTAACATCCTTAGGTGAGTCTGAACTAGAGTGCCCAAGTGCAGGTTTTTTTTCCTAATTTCTGTCCTATCAAAATTTAATTTCCACAGCAAAAAAAGTTATTTGGTAAAACACTTTAGCCCTGTGAAGGATCTCAAATTTTAACCCTTCTGAAGATGCCACCTTTTACAGTCCCAAAGGTAAGGGGGACTGAGGTGTTAAGAATTCCCTTTTCCAGCAGTGTAAAAATACGTACACAAAGTACTTTTAAGGTCCAGAACCCCGAACCCTACCCCCACCTCTCTTCTTTCTGGGCACAAGACTTTGGGCTGTAATACATAACCTGAAGTTATATCACGAAACTCGCATAGTTTCTGAATATGGAATATTCTGAAAGAGAAAGCAGGGACTCCAGAAGGGGAAGTTACTCCTCTTCCCAGAGCTAGCCCTCTGAAAAGCGCTACGTACCCGCCGTCGCTGGCTCAGTGGTTATAGCTTTGTAATATGTTATCAAATTGGAAGGACTGATAGAGCTCGTCAGTGTGGACACCGTCGGTGTCGTAGTACTGGTTATCTGCAAGGCTGTTCTGATGGTTTGGGAGCGGGTTGGTGGATAGTCTTGATTCCCCTAAGACTTCTTGGTCTATAAAACCGTAAACTGCAGGGTCAGGTAAGTTAGACTGGGAATTGAAAGGCGTGCTGCCCGGGGCTGCTACGGAGGGGCAAGCTGGCGGCACCTGATGGAGCTGCTGCCTGTGGTTGCTCGCGTTTAACACGGGGTTGTACTTTTCGAAGTTTATGCTGGCGCAGTTCATGTCATCGGTCTCCATGCTGACGATGCCGGCTGTGGAGACGCTGGCGGCGTGAGCCTGGTGCGCGATGCTGCTGCTAGAAACGCTCTGCATGTCTGCGGTCGACGCTGCCGCCGCTCCCATCCCGTTCGTGCTGCCAAAATTCCGGAAGAAGCCCGAATCCTTCTCATCGGGCCAGTTCAGAGGGTTCTCGTGGAAAGCCGTGAGCGAGCCGCTGCCCGGCGCAGCGGGCGGAGGCACGTCTGCCGCAAAGCTGTTCGGCGGGTGGGCGCTGAGCAGGCTGCCGGCGGAAGAGGGAGCGCTGTACAGCTGCTGCCAGCACGAGGAGACGTCCTGCTTCCCCGGCCCGCCCTGCGCAGGCTGATGGGCAATCTGGTTGCAGACAGGGTAGATCTGACTAGCGCTGGCCAGGGTTCCTAGCCCCGGCATCATCAGGGTGGCTGAAAACATGTTCGGTTCTGTGGAAAGGAAAGACGGGGCTGCATTTTAACAGCGGTTTTTATATCGTTTTTTTAAATTACAAATGGTGAAAAGCAAAACTAGTGCTATCTTAGTAAGGTTTCACGCCCATCTGGACTGTCACACTTGCTTAACTGCTCTCCAAGGTGGACCCCAGATCCTGGACAGCAGCAAGACAGGCACCTCACCCTTCTCAGACCAATGCCGAAGGTGACGGCTGCGTTTAAGTAAAGAACTGATGGTCTTGGTTCATCCAGTCAAAAGTACCAATATCTGAAACCCTCAAGAGAATAGTAGCAATTAAAGCAAAGAGGAGAGAAGGCCAGGGACTAGGGGTATGTTTGAAGGGCTGAGTACCTGAATGCAAAAGTCCTCAGCAGTTATCTAAATGAAGGCTGAAAGCTAGTGGTGCTTAAAGGTGAAGAAGGCGTAGCCCTCTCCTGTGCCAAGGGCACGGTGCAGCATGGCTGCAGCTTTGAGGAGAATGCAGAGAAGAAAGAGGAAAGTAAGATAGATACAGAAACTACTGCTGCCATGGGAACTTCAGTGCCGCCCTGAAAAATGCCCCTCCCCACACCAACCAGGCACTATTTGTATCAAACCGCCGTGGGATTGGGACACGCGTGCAAAACACACCTTTCTTAATCAGCTTCCCTTCAGGAGTGACAGCGGGGAACGGGGCGACTTTGGGCCTCTCCGTCGCATTGGATCCTGCGAGGGAAGAAAGCGTGAGTCTACGCTGGGTGTTTGCTTTTGTATACAAGGACTCCACCTACGGGTCCCTTCACTCAAACAAGAGAAAGCCAAATATTTTCCTTACCACAGTCCTGTATGAGTTTCTGCCAAGCCAACGTCGATCTTTGCCTTTTTGCTTTGTTGCCATACGGATCTGCAGAGAAAGGAGTAGAAGGAAAACGTGTTACGTTTCTCTCCAATACGATTAGTACAGGAACTTTCTAAAACTTATACTAGTGGCCCTTAATTGTAGTAAAATAGATGTAAAGAAAAATACTTTGGCTGTGACAGCTGTAACCAAGACGTTACCAACTCGATTCTTGAGATTTTCCTTGAAAGAGGGAGCCAACTGACTACAAAGTAGATTTTTTGGGGTTTTAAAACTGACACTTTAAAGCCCAAAAAATCTACTTCGTAGTAGTGCAGTAGAATTTTTACTAGTTAAGCTGCTGTTTATTATCAACACAAGGTGTGCACCGGTAAAGGCTTTTAAGCAACTCAACTCATTGGAACCGTACCCTTTTCATCTGGTAGGTATCTGAAATCCATAGGTTCACTGACTTCCTGGTCTGAAGGTCTTCGCAGCTGCATCTTCACCGTGACGGGCTCGGTGATGTCTTTGAGGAAGGGCGGCGTTCGGAACACAATCGCAACTTGGCGGTGAACGTCAGCTTGTGAGAAGGAACCTTTGGCCTCCCAGTTGTCCAAGACAAATCTGACTTCGATATCATCTAGTCCATCAGGAACAAAAAGATGCTTGTTAAGCCGAAAACTTGCAGCAGAAAAAAAAGGGGGAAGGGGAACAAAGAAAGGAGTCCAACTCGGAATTCAGATGCAAAGTCAACGGGTGGACTTTAGAGGCACCGAGTATCTTTCAGAGGTGCTGAGAGCCCTTGAACCTGAAAGCTATTCCACCCAGCTACAAAACCTGACCACTTACACGGGAGTGTGGTGAAGGGCTTAAGTTTCCCAGCTAGAAAGTGGTAGCGTAGGCCATGTGGAACAAAGGCAGGGGGATAAAAACCAGAACAACTCTTCAAGATTACCTTTTTGAACTTTGTCACACAGCAGAAATATTTCATCTCCTCCTTTGACACTTCCACAGTTCTTGTTCACACGACAGATTCTTAGTTCTGCTGTGTTGGGAGCTCCTGGAAACACACAGGGACATGTGATGATGAAGAATCACTGTGACTTTGTCGCTTCTGAAGACGAGGTGGAGGGAGTTAAGGCATATGAAGGGAAGGCAACAGCTGGAGGAGTGCGACACCCCAAAACCCACACTGAACGAGTCACTCCATGCAGGAAATTCAGAAGCAGCGCTTGATGTTCCACGATCCTACAGCTCTCGGCCACTCATCTCCAAAGACAAGACACCAGCGCAGCTGTGCCACCTGCTCCCTGACTGTTCCCGAGTAGTCTCGAAACACTTCCCCAGACGACACAGACGTGCTCGGTACTGCTGCCCTTCAAGCTACTGCAGTCAGAGCAGTTCTTTGAGGGACTGATTACCTGCTGCCACCTCTCCCGTCACCCTCTCCAGGTGTTTGGGAACAGGTCTAGGAGTCCCAACTTCCACACCTTGATTCAGGGTAGCAGATTTCACCCCAAAACGCTCAGAATTCCACTCCAAGGTGTGGCTGTACGTAGACAGCGCTCGACGGTCGCAGCTGGAGCTGCCCTGTAGCATCGTCTGTCACGATGCAGCAACCACCACCCGAGTGTGCACACCACCTCCAGACAGGCCGATGGCTGCAGGGGGATTGTGTGGGATGGGGACAAGCACTGTCTGGCCCCGCTCAGCAGCAGCTTTCTTGCAGGGGAAGTGTGGCCAGGAGACTACTGCAAGAAAGAACAGCCCCCTCTGAGCTCTGCAGGCTATGTTACAATTTATTTAAAAGGGGGCTAGTGTCATAAAATAATGAATCAGAAATAAGAAAGAATGAACAAAAAAAAGCCCGAATGGAAGCAATGTCTCTAGAATGTCAAGTTCATCTCCCTGTACCTATATGCTGTGTTGACACTGTTAAGGACATCAGCACATACCGATTTTAAGACCTCACCTTCATTTAACATACAGAGTAACCGACGGTGCTTTTTCCGCTGCGGTCTCTGACCACATTCAGAGCTCACTGCACCCTCTTCCACCCCTCCCATCCCGACAGAAGGAAACTGCACTGCGCCATGATGTTCTCTCAACTTCTTACATCAGGGCATCGACTCCGAATGGATTTGAAACGCCTGGGACCTGGCTGGTGCCTGGCTGTGCCCCTGAAACCGATCCTCCTACTGCCCCAGGAACACGAGGCTCCACCACCATGGGCTCCCGGCACAGAGATAAAATACAAAACCAAAGATCATGGTGTCATCCTCAAAATAAAAAGAAAAGTTGTACTTTAGGCTCAGTTTGAGTCAATTCCTGCCCGATCTGACATGGGTGCAGCACAACACAGACTGCGCTCAAAACGGAGCTCCTAGTAACCTCAGGCCAGACCCCAATTACGTAGTTACTATCTACAGCTATTACTATTATTAGGAGAAGCGGGTGCTACAGCCTCATTTACTACATGACACATGCCACTTCGTTTGCTGAATGAATCAGAAACTTTGAAGGGAGGGGAAACAAAACAAAGCCAGAAACAGCACAGGATCATATGATTGACAGTGTCATGGTACATTCTTCACAGGAAAGGTAAATTAAGAATCGCAAGGAGAAGCCTAATTTTACCTTTGTTTCACTTCTGTATGTTTGAATGGCACTCTGCGTCCTTTCGACTGCTTTTTGGGAAGGTCCCCTAGGCTGGGGTTAGTTTTGTCTTTTTATTTTAAGGGAAGTTTAGAGGATAAAGGAAAGAAACACAAATGCCAGATGACATGGATGCACCACTGTTGTTAGTACCAGGCAGGAACACCCGGTTTGGCATGTCCCTGGTAATAAATCCCTAGAAAAAACAAGCTTCTCCCCCAAAATCTCACCACTTCCACCACAGGCAGCACACCATGTTCACCTTAACCACTTTTCTTGGAAGCAGCAAGCTGCTTCGCTGACTATTCCAAGAGTTTTCAGAGTGGTGAGATATGCAATTGGGAACTTCCTGCTCAAAGCCAGTCACTATTACAGAAAATGGAAAACAGAAGCTGCCTCCAATGCCGAACTTCACACGCCTGCAGTCTCTGCTGATGTGGCTGCCTCCCTGTTACGTTTATTCTCATGTATCCCCACTATCCAAAGCACATGGAGGCTACGGAGTGTTAGGAAGTGAAGAAATACCAGATTTCAAACATGCCACCCGACTTTCAGAAGAAACTCTGAACACCTTTTTGCTCCTGTTCTGGACAGTGCCGTGAAAGCTCGAGATGTAACCACCTAGGATTTCCAAGCCCACTGCACCGTAGAGTTTTATCTTTTATCTACAGTTATAACGTGACCTTACCTAGCTCTGTATGACAGAGCAGGCTGAAAAAGGCAAAACATTTTTTAAAAGAAATTCAGATCTGAAACCGCCGTTCCAGACAAGAGCAGCATAATTTTTATGATTTGTGGTTTCAGTTATGCAGTTTTATTTACACGGCTGCTACGATACATGGAGGATTTTAGATACCTATGCTCTATCAGAAGCTACCCGCACACACCCCCACACGAGAAAACCAAGCTTCCCCCACCACAGCGCTATCTGTCATTTCAGCAGCTTAGCAGAGACTGACGTCAATCAACGCAGACGAGTAATCATGATTTGGCACATTTCTAAATGGCATCTGAGGCAGAGCTGCAAATCTCGTACATCAATTTTATCGCAACCCCAAGTCCTTTAGTACTACACAAGGGTTCTCCACAGCACAGCGCGCACAGTTCCTGCTTCGAGATAATTCTACAAGAGACTCTCAAAATATCAAAACACGCCCGAGTTCAGATTCAACGTTTTCACAGCGGCTACGCCCACACCAACACAATGCTAACATCAACTTTATGAAACGCAGACCTCATTTTATTCACTAGTTTCTGCTCAAGTAATCACCTTAAATATTTAGCATGGAAATACTTTCACTGCAGAAATGCATGCCACCGCCAGAAAGTCTCTAATTATTAAAATCTCTTCTGCTATTCTTCTCCAGGCAAGAAGTCCAGCACACGTCGAGGGCTATAATCCTCAACCTCCATGACCCGCCAAAGCCCTAGGGAAGTCTGGTTTTGTGGAATGTGGAAAAGGGTGCCGAGAACGGGTGTTTCATGTACTTCTGCGCCCACCCAGAGCACAATCAAACACTCCCCAATCACCTGTCTACACACTGAAAACAGCAACCAACCAGGATAGGTGAAAGCATTCAGTGTCCCACTGGGATAAATCTCTCGAGTTCTGTTCAAGAGCCCTCACAAGGCAAAGGCAAGACTCCTCACAAGTACAGACAGGCTTTCCAGGACATCCTTGGAAAACAGATCCGTCTTAGGGCAGCCATCCATCTTGCCATTTATTTTAATTGCTTGGCACAGCAGAAGCAGGCCCCTTTCCTTGCAGTCACTGCTGTGCCATGTGGGCCAAGAAAGCATTTGTGCTGAGTCCATGGACACAACAGACAATTCCTACTCTGAGGGGCCAATGCTTCACCCTGGGATCATCTTTGGAGTTAGTGCTCACTAACGTGCTGTGTGTTAGGTACGCATCGAGCAGTCTCAAGCCACAGAAGTGACCCAGAGGACTGGCACAGACCTCAGAAACCAGCCCAGCATTCTTCATCCCAAGCAAAAGAGAAGAAAAAAGGAAAAACACCTTTCAGTTGGTACTTACTGTTGTCATAGATTGGGTTGGAAATCAAAGGAGGAAGAGCTAACGTGTAGTTGCCGTGTTCGTCAGGGAGGAAAGCTTGGAAGCAGAGGCGCACGACGTTGAGATCATACTCATCGATGTTGTGCAGCTGTTCTTCAGGCACTGAACAGCAGGGAGAGAGACAAGACTGAGGATTAGTCATCAAAACCAGCAGCAACTCTTTAACAAACTAGGGATGAACCTCCACCGGCAAGAGATGGCCTTGCCAAGGCAGACGGAACGTGCCCACAGTCCCCGCCAGCTTTACAGGGGCTGCACAAACAAATTCCTTCCACACACCAACTGGTACAAAAGCCTGTAACGCTTTCCCTTCCTCAAATACTGTAAAACTGTCCTAGTTTTCCAGCTGGTTCTTGCATCTGGCTTCCCCACCTTGCTTCCCAGACCAGTTTGGTGCATCTCGAGTTCAAAAGTCATTCCCCAGGCACATTTCTCTCTTGCCTGTGCATCTGCACCTTTGAAAATGGTGATTAGTGGCATCGTTGTGATATCACGTCATGCTACAATGCGCCAATCCTTGCTGCAAAGGATCCTTTTCCATACATATTCCTCCCAGTATAAAGCACAGTGATGCATGAGCCAAGCTCAGCATTTCAGCTGTGTTCACACTCTTCCACTTACTGTAACCTCAGGACCTACAACCTGGGATATCATTGCTGAACATTTCATGTACTTCTCACTCAAAGGTGACCCTGGGAAAAGCAGCCCTCGGAATGCGATGCTTCCTTTAAGGTCTGACATCCAGTGCTAGTAAAATGAGAAAAACTGATTTATTTTCCTTTAAGTAGAAACACTGATAATTAAAATAATTTAAAGGTGGCTCTTTTCCAAAATGGTTCGAAGCAGCAGCGCAGCATGGTTGATTACTACTCACAATCACCTAAACTGAACTTGTGCCAAGTCGACAGATCACCACCTCTCGAGCTCACGCCTTCCCCTGCCCTTTCAAAGGCCTCTTGCAAGAATAAAAGATTAAAAGTGCCTGTGGTAAGCAGCCTGGGGATCACACTCTGCTGACTTGGTTGCACTGCTCTGACCTTCAACTTTTGCCACTGGCTCGGTCTCCACCCTGCCATGAGTGGGATTCCACAATGCCCACTTGAATGGTTTCTTCCTTTCACCTTCCGATAGTGTGAAATAACAAACGCACTGAGCTCAGAATACTTTCCACTGGCATTTTCAGTCTGCCCTGTGCTCTGAGTATCTCAGTTTCTTCTGGTCGCCACTGTAAAAAGCAATCAAATCACCTCTCCCTTCTCAAAGTCCACAATCTGCAATGTTTTAAGACAACTACATCAGTAGCAACGAGGTAAGCCACTTCAGAAACGCTGGTGCCCAGGGGAGCTCTGCACTTTGCGTCGGTGGCAGGCTGTGTCACCAGACATGCAGAGCAAAGTTTGATAATTTAAGGTACTTCCTTAGCTGACCTTCTTCCTGGGCTGACCTCCTTCACCTCTTCCTCAGAAACAAAATAATAGCAGCCTTAAAGCTCAAAGAGAACTGTCTAAATGCAAAAATACATCGGACACGGAGAAAATTAGTAATGCTAATGTTCAAATTACATCATTTCCTATACGATGAACTTTCGCAAATTCCCAATAAACCTGTTGAACCACCTGGTGTGGGAAAGGTGCGGTGCGCCAACCCTCGCGCGACACAGAACTGCTGTACGCAGCTCATCGGGTTACGGCAACAAACGCCGCTCCGCGTTTGCGTGTTCTTGTAAATTATTTCATACAATTAAAAAAAAAAACTAGTTTGAAAGAGGAAGTGCTCAGTCAAGACTGATTCCTCTTGGGCTATTTTTAACCAGATGAGAAGAACAGAACAGAGCAAAAAAAAAAAGGAGAACAAGGCATGTCTCCATCTTGTGATGACACGCTTAAGAATAGAGAGGCCAGATTCCATGTTTGTGTAAAGAAGCACATAGCTTTCATCAATCTCAAAACATCTTCCATTCCCACCTACAAGACAACCATCCAAACAAAAGAAAATGTTATTTTTAACGAAGGTCTAATCCTGCTCCCTCTGAAGTCGACGCGAGAGCGGCCACTGACTGGAACAGATGCTGGCTTAGCCCTTCAGAACATTCTTCCCGGAGAGGGTGGGGAGGCACTGGCACAGGTTGCCCAGAGAAGCTGTGGATGCCCCATCCCTGGAAGTGTCCAAGGCCAGGCTGGATGAGGCTTGGAGCAACCTGGTCTAGTGGAAGGTGTCCCTGCCCATGGCAGGGGGGGTTGGAACTGGATGGGCTTTAAGGTCCCTTCCAACCCAAACCATTCTATGAAGAACAAACAAACCCGAGAGCCAAGCACGCTAACACCCAGAGTACGGCCGTCTGAAGGATGGTCGTGTCATTCCATGTTATTCCACCGACTTCCCCACAGGAGGACAACAGACAGGCTTAAACCTGACAAACCTGAAGTTATTAAAGTGAAGAAACGCTGCTGAAGATTTTTGGGAACAGAAAGGACCGGAGAAGAGTAGCCTCCCCATCAACCTGTGCAAGCTGCACACAGGCAGCCCTACCAAAACCAGCGACGTGGAAACGTCACACGGTGCAGCATGTCAAGAGCAGGTACGGTGAAAACAGGCTCGAACGCAACATGGGAATAAAAGGAAGAAATACTCTAGTTTTGGCAAGAGTTTAACTTCCTCTTCTGACAGTGATCACTGTGTGGTACCACACCTCACCGTCTTCACATGAACCCAATCAACAATCTTGGCATGTTCCCACCACAGTTTAATCCAGTAAAAAAATAGCTTTAAACTGGCAAAAATTCATTTTCCATAGTTATCTCTGCAAACAGGAGTGAAGGAGTTTAAGTACAGCTCTTCAACAAGGAGAAAGACAGCTTGCCACAGTAACGCCTAACGACTCAAACACACCAAATGAAAACAGCAGAATTTTAATTCTTATTTAAAGACGTTAATTATGGGACAAGCTGCTAACAACAACAACAAAATGACATATAAACACCACCAGCACTATGGAAAAAGAGAATTAACCCCATTCACCAAGATTCTGGCAATAGGATTTAAAAAACAGTATCTGGAGTTACAATCAAACCTGGGGAGTATTAGCTGTTCGACCTCAAATGGGCTGAAATAACCAGTAAATCCTTTCTTCATACATCTGTTTATAACTCTCCTGAAAGAAATGCTGGTTCCCAACATTAAAAATAACCACCTTTGGATTAGAGAATTATTTCATTGTCCACTATCATGGGAAGAGACGGATGTAATCCCAGCGTGGGCACAAAAACATCCCACGCAAGCTAAATCGCAAACCCCTTCCGACCTGAGCTTGCTAATGCGAGCAGCTCACGCGAGACAGGCATTAGGTTTGGGCTGTCCCTGTCTCAGGGATTTATGCCACCGAAACCCAGAGCTGCACCGCCGGGTTTCTGCTGAATCAGAGCGCTCCTTAGGTTTGCTTCTGTAACACAAAATTGGAGACTTTCTGGGTCCAGCCCAGTGCACCATTCCAAGTTCAGGCACAAAATTCAAGATGCCAATAAGATCACATCTCCCGTTTGTTCCAGTTCCTTAATTTCGACTGTTTTTTACTATTTTAACAGCCTTCAACGTCCAGGAAGGGTAATAAAATACCACTTATCTGATGAAATTTTACTGGGGGATTAAGGGCTCTGAAGTTTACTCAGAAGGTGATGCCACAGGGAAAGTGAAAGCTTATTCTGAACACCGAAATGATGCAGCGTTTGTTTTTCTGACTGATAAGGCAATACCTGATTAAATAGCAGCTTCCTCACACAGAACCCTCCACACAACTCTCCTAGACTAATGATGTCAAACTTCTGGAGTGGGTGGAGTTGGAGGTACTTTAGCATCTAAAGTTAACCTGCATGGAAACTTCCAGGGCCAACGATGTAGCGTGACACATTCTACACCAAGAATACCAGTTTGCCCTGCAAAGGGACATCTTGTGACCTTCCCTCCTTGACGAGGGGCTGTGGGGGTGTACGAGCCACGCTACATCTCGGGCGAAGAGAATAACCTCCCACAAACAAAAACACTTCATCAAGGAGACTGCATCATTAATAATCACGATGAGCTTTTCTCTTACGCAGATGATGGTTTTTAATTTAGGGATATGGCAGGAGCTCGGTTTCATTTAAGTGATGACACAGAGGTGGTTTGCCTCAAGCGTTTTGCTCCGGGAGCACGATACCCCTCTTAGCCCCGGCACCGACTGATCAGTTGAACTGGGTTTACGCCCGAGGTTTGGCTGTCAAAGGCTGGCTCTACCCAACCCTCACTTCCAGGGCTACTCCAAGCTAAGTTGCCAGCAGAGGAAAAGGCTTGTTTTCAGGTCAGCTGGTTCCTCGGTGCAAGGGCAACGGTGGAAGCAGACAGGCGCAGGGCGAGGAAGGAGACAGCCTCTTCCGGTGCTGATTTAGGCCAGGTTCAAGGAGTTGGGGTGCAAGTCCCAGGTCCCTCTCCCCGCTGGGAAGTATGTTTGAGATTGAATTTACTCCCCCCATCCCACGTCTGCACTGTGGCCACAGATGTGACCATGTAGCTGTATGGCAGCGAGCTTTAGGAAGGAACAAGCAGGGCAGCGCTCACCAGATCGCCCATGTGACTGCTGTCTCCCGCAGCTGAATTTACACACCTAAAACAGATCTCACCAGCTAGTTCAATGCTACTTTTGCTCTTTGAGTGAACTACAATCATACTGGTACAAAGGAAAGAGCAGATAGTCCTGGTGTGCTATTTGCTCCTCGCTGTCAACAGCAGAATATTGTGCTCCCTTCGGGCTTCGGCACCCGGACACACAGCGCTGGACGATGAGGCGGTGCAGCTATGCATCCAGAGGCATAAATACCACCTACAAGCACCTGCCGAGAGGTAGGAGATGGGAATAAGGGGAGGGAAGGACCGTGGCAGCACTACAGCTCTTTTCCCGATACACCCACGCCTGGTTTGTACCTCCGTGATCCACGAAGAGGAACATTTTGATCAATCCCTCAGGAACCAAGAAGCCTTTGCGTGCACCTAAGAAACGGAACGCTCCATAATTTTACAAAAGCAAAAAACTCAGGGGGTCGATGACTACACGATACAGATGCTAACCTACA